CACACTGTCAACACAGTCCTGGTCCATGCACACTTCCCAACCCTCTGGAGTGTAACCCAACGCCCCACTGCAGAGGCCCTCACCTCTCCACCAGTGCCCCCCACAGTTGTCCTGGTTCTCAGACAGGCCTTGCCCCACAGAGGTGGACACACTTGCCTGCCTGTAGAGGATCAAGGCACTGAGTCAATGCAGGCCGACAAGTTGCCTGAGGGCTTGCTGTTAGGTGGGGCTGGTCCCTAGGGCAGGCTGCCTGCCCTGGCTCAACTAGGTTAAATCTGCACTCGAGTGGGTGTGGCAGACCCCTGGGATAACAGGCTAGGGGAAGAACTTCAATGGTGTCTGCCTGTGTCAGCACTCCTGGACTAGGTGACAACAATGGCCACCACCAATGTTTCAGTCTCTGGAGAGGTCTCTCTTCTCACCGAGATGCATGCAGAGCCTAACGGGTGAGTCTCTTTTCACCAAAGGACAGTCAGCCTTCTTTCTGGTGATTTTAGGTTGCTGAGACGGGTGAGTTTGTGCCTGGGCCCTTTAAGACCTGGGTCTTTTTGGCTTTTGTCCAATAGCTTTTCTAGGGGTATTCCCTGCTGCCATTAATGGTCAGCAAAGCCAGATAGTAAGACCCTCGTCTTAGTTGTGCTGTGTCTGAAGAATGCTTATAGTAGTATCAGCCCCCGCTAGTGCCTCACTTCTCCAGGGAGGGCTGCGTACCTTAGGGATGGCTCCCACCTGGCTGGCTGAGAAACTCTCCTGCTCCTGAAGGTGGCTTTTTTGTCTCCAGAAGGAATTTCTGCCTCTTTTGCCTTAGTCAGGATTGTCCCTTGTTGTGGGGGTTCTTTTCATCCAGTTTTCAGTTTTCTATCCACGGTAACTTTTCCAAAAATAGTTGTAACCTGGTTGTGTTTGTGGGAGGTGATGAGTTCAGAGTCCACCTATGCCGCCACCTTGATGAGATGCCTTAAAATGTACTATTTTGAAGATAATATCAGTGATAGCTGCGTAAGTTAGTATGTCTTTGAATCAATCTAACAAGATATGTAACAGAAAGTTTAAAAAAATTATTGGAAAAAAAAAAGTGGACCCAAGTAGATGGAGAGAGAGATACTGTTTTCACAGGTTAGGAAACACAGTGTTGTAAAAATGTTATTTCTTTCCCAAAGTAATAGTACATGTGCTGTAATTTCGGTTTAAATCTCAACAGGATTTTTCTGGGAACTATACAGTTGGAACCTAAAATTCATAAAGGGCAGAGTAAAGGGCCAAAAATAGGCACGGCAATTTTGAATCAAATAAAATGGTAGACTTCTTGTTGTAGATAGAAAGATTTAAAACAGCATGGTATTGAGGTAGGGAGAGACAGATATAGTGGTGGAGCACAAGTAAGAGCCTAGAAACAAACCTACATATGTGTGGGAGCTTGTTATATGTGAAAGATAGCATTATAAATCTGTGGGAAATCTATGTTGAATACAAAACCATATTCAGTAAGTGGTATTGGACAATTGGCCACCTATGTAGGGAAATACTAAACAAGAAACCTACCTGATTCTGCACTCCTAAATCAATTCCAAGTAAACAAAAGACTAAAAGTCAAAAGTAAAACTATAAAACTTATAGAGAAAAATAAAATCTTATGACATATAAAGATAGGGAAAGGGATTCTTAAATAATACACATACAATCATAAAAGGAAAAGGTTGATAAATTTGAATATATTAAAATCAAGAACTTACAGCTATCAAGGAAATGCAAACCAAACCTGCAGTGAAACACTGCCTCACACACACCAGGATGGCTAGAATAAAAAAGTCAGATAATAACAAGTGTTGGTGAGGTTGTGGAGAAATTGGAACTCTCCTTGCACTGCTATTGATAATGCAGAATAGGGCAGTTGCTTTGGAAAATGATCTGGCAGGTCCTCAAAAGGTTAAACATATGGTTACCACATGACCCAGCAATGCCACACCTAGGTATTTATAGGACAGATAGAGCCAAGAGAAATGAAAAGATATGTCTACACAAAACCATACATACACATGTTCATAGCAGCAGTAGTCACAATAGCTAAAAAGTGGAAACTCAAATGTCCTTCAGCTGATAAATGGGTAAGTAAAATGTTTATGAATAAATAAAACATTTCATACAATGGAATATTTTTTGCAATAAAATGGAACCAAGTACTGATACATGCACTGGATAGACCTTGAAAACATTATACTGAGCGAAAGAAGTCATTCATAAAAGACCACCTATAATTCCACTTACTTAAAATGTCCAGAATGGGCAAATCTGTAGACACAAGGTATGTTAGTGGTTGCCTTAGGGCTGGGGGGAATAGGAGGTTACAGCTAAAAGGTATGAAGTTTCTTCATGAGATGATGAAAATGTTTGAAAATTGGTTAATAGTGATGGTTGCCCAATTCTGTGAATTGAATTGTGTACTTTAAATGAGTGAATTGTATGGTATTTGAATTATATTTCAGTAAAGCTTTAAAAAAATCAGGAACCTTTTGTATGGCAAAAGATACCATAAACCATATTAAAGAAAATCCACAGACTAGGAGTAGTTATATACAGCTATATATATATATATATAAAGTTGGAAAAGGCTCACCATCCAGAATAGAAAAAGAACTCCTAAACATTAATAAGAAATTGACAAACATCCTACTAGTAGATGGCCAAAGATTCAGGCAGTTCACCTAGGAAGAACCCAAATGGCCGATTAAGAAGTGGAAAGATGCTCAGTTTCAGAGAGGTGCAATTTAAAATAATGGTGAGATACAATTTTACATCCATCTTGTTGGTTCTAGTAAACAAGACTGCCTTAGAATATCAAGTGTTGGCACAAACGTTGGGAAATGGAGGGGGCCCTTTCATTGCTGGGGGAAGTGTAAATTGATACGACTTCCTTGGAGAATGGTCTGACAATAGAAAGTCAGGTTGCATGTGGGCCTACCCTGTGACCTAGTTGTGCTAGAGCCACTCTTGTGCCTGCTGCAGTGCCTTTTGTGAGACAGTAGGAAGAACCTAGCTGGGCTCCTCAGCCTGGGATAACCCAACTGTAACACAGTTGTGTGCTGTACAGTTCAATGGAATAGGTCCACAGAGATAAATCTCAGAATGTCAAGCAAAAATAGCACAAAGATATATCCTAAATATTATTTCTACCATGTTTTCAAATGCAATGTCAGTAATTATATCTGTTTATGTATCCACATGTAGTAAAAGTACACAAAACATGCATGGATAGTGGTGCTTGCCCATTTAAGAACTGGGGTTGCCTCTGGGGAGAGTGGAAAGGATATTATTTCCCATCTCCAAGGACTCTTGTAAGGACAGACAAGTACACAGCCTGGCTTATTACGAGTGGTTGCTGTTAGTTCTTAGGGGCTCTTGGTGCTTCTTTTTCTCTCTAAAATTTAAAAGCTAGTACTGATTGTTTTGATTGGGTTTTTTAGTGTTGTGGTAAGTCTGCTCATATAAGTGCTCATTGTGTGTCAGGTACTGTTCTGGGGACCCGTGGCCAGGGCTATCGCAGTGAACCAGACTGGCCAAATCTCGGCTTTCCTGGAGCTCACAGTGCGGGTTAATAGACAATAAACAAGTAGAAAATTAGTTGTACTCTTGACTGGCACTAAACAGTGTGAAGGAGGTAAAGCATGCACTGAGAGACTAGGGGCTGAGGGTGGTCAGGGAACGCCTCTCTGAGGAGCTACTACCTGGAGACCTGTATTATAAGAGCAAACATACGGAAATTTGGGGGGAAATCTTTCCAGGCATAGGTAAACACCTTCAGACATGTATTAATTAAAAAATTCCAAAAAGAGGGGCCGGCTCCGTAGCCGAGTGGTTAAGTTTGCGTGCTCCGCTGCGGCGGCCCAGGGTTGGGATCCTGGGCGCGGACATGGCACTGCTCGTCAGGCTACGTTGAGGCGGTGTCCCGCATCCCACAACTAGAAGGACCTGCAACTAAGATATACAACTATGTAGAGGGGGGTTTGGGAAGATAAAGCAGGAAAAAAAAAAAAAGAAGAAGAAGATTGGCAACAGTTTAGCTCAGGTGCCAATCTTTAAAAAAAAAAAAAAAAATTCCAAAAAGAGTAAAATACTTAGAAATAAATTTAGCAAAAGAACTGCAAACCATATACTTTGAAAACTACAAAACATTGTCAGAATAAAGGAAACCTAAATAAACGGAGAGGCATCCGAGGTTCACGGACTGGAAGACAGTATTGTTAACGTGGCAGTACTCTCCAGACTGATCTATAGATTCAGTGTAATCCCTCTCAGAATCTCAGCTAACTGCCTTGCAGAAATTGACAAGCTGATCTTCAAAAATAGAAAGGCCAGTGTGGCCAGAGCCCAGTGAGGGAGAGGGCGAAGTTGGTAGAGATACAGTCATTGAGATTGGCAGGGCGTCTGGATCATGAAACCCTGTGGGCCGTGACAGGGAGCTGTCACTGACCTCATCCTAGGTCTAGTGGGAAGCCTTAGAAGGGTTTTAAGTAGAGGAGTGATAAAATTCAATATTTATTGAGTGCCTGTTCTGTGCCAGGTGCTGGAATGGGCATGAATATGGCAGTGCACAAGACAGAATGTTGAATAAGTGGAATTCAGCTTCTCACTAGTAGGAAATGAGAGCGTCGTCAGTTTATTTTCTTATGTGTTGGCATATATTTGTGTCATATTACTAACCTACTTAAAGATTTTCTTAAGTGATATGGAAGTAGCAAATATTCACTATGGAATAATTAGAAGATTCATACCAAAAGAGAGAATGCATATCTTTCAAGATCTTACCCTTTGGAAATAATGACAGTTAACATTTAGTGTTTTTTCCTTCTAGTCTTTTGGATGGATTTATGATCAAACACTTCTGAGGTTCAGTAATGAGTGACCCCCTCACCCCCTCAACACCATTAAAGGAAGTAAAAGTGAGAATCATAGGTTTTCTTGCGGCAAGTCAGTCCGTGAGTTTTCTGATTACTTCCTTTCAGGTGGAGCTGATCAGAATAATGTTCAGCATCAACCCCCTGGAGAACCTGAAGCTGTACATCAGCAGTCGGCCTCCCCTGGTGGTCTTTATGATCAGTGTAAGCGCCATGGCAATAGCTTTTCTGACCTTGGGCTATTTCTTCAAAATCAAGGAGATTAAGTCACCGGAAATGACAGAGGTATAGTATACATTCTAAGTTTTTTTCTCAAGTTGGCTGGACCTTATAGAGTGGGAAAACACCTTTGGGCTCTCCACATACTTTTCTTTGGTTGTGACTTTTTTTATCCCAGTAAGAAAGATCAGTATCTATTCAGAGTTCTCTGTCTTCCTTCTCCCTGTGACTCTCTTTGTTAGGAAATATCTAGTCAGATAGTTATTAATTTAAATAATGCTCCCAGTTTCAGTTAGACTGTTTCAGCAAAGAAACGTGTATTTTGGAGAATATATTTGTAAAATGTTTGTGTCAAGAAGCTATAGAACTAGCTTCTTTGATATTTGCATTAAATTAGTTCATTACAATTTTTAAAAAGTAAATGTTTGTTATTTTAAAGCCACATATCATGGTGAAGTTTTATCGGCTCTACTAATAGCTTTTTCATTGAATAAGAAGAGATCTGAAAGAAATTAGAAAGCGGGATCTTATTTCCAAATATATGTCTTTTTTTTTTATCAAGGAAAACTTCAGTTATCTACAAACTTGCCTTCTGGATTTTACATTTTGGTCAATATAAATAAATTATTAGGGCTTTGCTCTTTAATCCTTAGTCTAGGCGTAATAGAACACTCAATGCAGATTTTATAAGATGTGTATTTTTACATATCAGAAAACAATTAAAAGTTAATAATTTCTGTTTAATAAAGGTGAATGTCAATATACCTATTAATAAATTTACATGTTAGAAATTATGCTGAATTAGTGATATGGTGAATTTACTGGTAGATAAGGTTTCATTTAGGACAAACTAGTTCCTGTCTTGGTAGATCCTTGAGGCCCGTCTTACACTTTTTCCTCTTGGATATGTTCCTTGATGGGAGTGGGAATGAGAGTAGGGATTGAAATGACTTTGTTGTCGCGTTGTCTGTGCCTTGTGTGGGAGAGGAGAGTTCTATGCAGTGTAACGGGGATAGTGGCTTTCTCTTGAGCTCCCTGGGATTCCTGATCATAGATGCTCTTGGGAGGAGGCCCCACCTTCACACTTGAACTCTCTAACAGTTAAAATAACAAGCTTTAGCTATTTCTACCATGGAACCCTTTCAGAGAGTTTCTTAACCAAGAGACGTACTGGCTGGCTTAATTCTCCCTTTTATGACCCTGCCTGAGTCTTTAAAGGTTGTGCAAACAGGCTGCACCCACGTTAGGGCTTAAAATGACCATTCCAGTCACAACCAAAGCTCTGCAGCATCCTGGCATTGCTTTCCCTCAGAGCTCCATGTTCGACACTTGGCCAAGGCCAATGTTTAGGATGTAGCTTGGATAATTAGCCCTTAATAATCAAAATGGGGACTGACATTGGCTTTGGCAGACTGTCCAAAATTGACTTGAGCTCTACAGAAGAGCAATGCCAAGATGCTGCAGAACTTCGGTTGTGATTAATTTAGTGATTTTATTTTCAAATAAGGATCCCGGGTATATGGGAAGAGTTTTGGCATGTGAATCAGAAAACTTAATCCTGATTCTGCCTTCAACTGTGGAATTAGAGAGTCCCTAATTTGCTCTGGGCCTCAATTTCTTTATGTCTAGAATATGAAAGGATGAGACTGGAACGTTCATTTTCAGCCCTAATGTTCTTGAATGGTCTGCTGAGTTTGTAGATGTTAGGGAAAATGTAGTTCAGTTGCAGTCTTACTGAAGGCCATACACTGATATGCTGACGCTAGAAAGGTAGACTTGCTCAACTGCCTGGGGATTGCTCCGTTGGCATTTTTAATTAACGCTAGTGTTATAATAATCGAAAGTGTAAACTTGGTTTGTCTTCATATTTGCAACTTTTTGTAGACTAATGTTGCTTAAGAGAAAGAAGTTAGACGTAACAGCCTAGGTTAGGTTTATCATTGCTGTTTCGGCTTGAGTTCCTCTTTGGGTTTCTGCTAAAATTAAAACAGACCCTGGTGGGTACTTTACTATGTTGCCATCAGTTTAACTAGGAAATAATTGGCTGTATGTGTTGTTAAAAACTGCTTATGATTTAACCGTCAGTCCAGGGTGTAGATTTTCTCCTTCCCCTTGAAATTCTTCCTGTTCTAAGGTGGCATCCAAAATCTGTGATGAGGGGAGAAAGTACCACATATGCCTTGGTGTGTACTGCAGTTTTGCATTCTAGAGAAAGAAAACAAGATGTATAGAATTACCTTTTGAGGAATTATTTTAAGGCAGCCTTATTTTTTAAGAAAATAACTAATTGTAACTGCTAAATGAGTTTGGATTAATTTGATTCTGAGATTAGATTATTTTCTGTAACTATAATACACTGTTACGGTTTTTACGTTTTCTTGAATAAGTTGGTTTAGTCTCACAGCATATTTAATCTCTCATGCCAATGAAGTGTTTACATTTTAGATTATGAATATGAGAGTGGTTTGGGAAACCACACTGCTATGCTAGTGCGAGAGGCTGATGGCTGTATTGTCATTGTTACTTTAAATGATTGACTCTGAAGTGTAGTTTTCCCATTGTGGTGTGATGCCCCACTTAGGGTCATGGCTATATGGCTGAAGTGACAGCACTTTCAGACCGCTTACACTTGTTTCTCTCCATTTCATTTTACTGAAGGATTGGAATACTTTTCTGCTGCGGTTTAATGATTTGGACTTGTGTGTATCAGAGAATGAAACATTAAAGCATCTCACAAATGACACCACAACTCCGGAAAGCACAATGACCAGCGGACCGGCCAGAGTGTCTACCCAGTCCCCACAGGCCCTGGAAGACTCAGGCCCAGTTAACATCTCAGTTGCAATCACCCTAACCCTGGACCCACTCAAACCCTTTGGAGGGTACTCTCGCAATGTCACCCATCTGTACTCAACCATTTTAGGGCATCAGATTGGACTTTCAGGTATGTGAGTGTTTGTCAGTTTCCTTTCAGACTTTCTCAGGCAACAACTATTACAAGACAGAGTATTAGCAGTGTATGGTTATACTCATGAGACTATTTTTTATTTTTGCATGTGTCTCCTCTTTTGTTGAGTTTGAACTAAATGAAGTCAAGAAGGAACCATTTCTACTATATCTTTAGTTAATAAAGTGCTTTGTACACAGTAGGCTCTCAATAAAAGCCTATAAGAATGAGAAACTAGGAAGAAACTATAAGGCCTATTTCTGGTCTTAATATTTACAAACATAAAATTTTTATTCAGGTTTATCATGTTGGAGTTTTCAATACACACTACAAATATTGCTGTTAGTTTACAGATTTTTGAATGCCCACTATTAGCTTAACACTGTGCTAGCTACTAGAAAGAACTAGAAAAAGCCTAAGATCTGGTCTCTTTCCTTTGGAATATTGGGATTCTGGAAGAGAGTAGGATAATGGGAGTTCATATTTATCAAGCACTTAGAGTAGTTCCTGGTACAATGGATATGCTATATAAGTGCTTGTTAAATAATACTAAAAATAAACATCTCTCAAAACCTTGAGCACTGCCCTTTGACCAGTACTAAACCTGTTAGAGACTGTAAGTGATTTAGGAGAAGGTTGACAAAGTAAGGGAACCTGGAAAGGCTTTAGGCCAGAGACCTGGGCCTTGGAAGAATAGTCTTTGGTTCTTTGGTTACCAAGAGCCCTTTAAACTCCTTAAAGAAACTTGGGAGTGTCTGCCAGCCTCCTCTTGGCTGTTACAGGCGAGAGCTATTCCCATGGTAGAAAGGCTCAGGGCGACTTCCGGGTTTTCCGTGTAGTGAGTGGACCTCCTTCTGCTCTGGTGTTGTAATACCTTGGTTTTCATTTAAGCTTCACCACTTACTGGTCCCGTGACCTTTCTTAAGTCTGTTAGACCCTCCGAACCTCAATCTACTCATATGTAAAAGGGCAACAGTAACACTTCTTTGCTCATGTTTTTGGGATAAGGGTAGATTTTAAGTGAGACAATACATGTAAAAGCAGTTTGAAACGGTAAGAATGCTGTACAAATGCTGAAGCAGTGGTGGTGATAACTCACCCGGCCCCCAGCCTTCCGACTTGGGCGCTGCCGGGGCTCTTGCCTGGCCTTTGCAGGTGCTGGCTGAAAGTGGTTGCTCTCCCTTTGCCATTTTGTGGCTCTACTAGGTCAGCAGGCTCAGAGTCTGGCTCAGAGATCTCACAAAGGCAGATATCCTGCTTCTGTGGGCTAATGGGTGATTCCTGAGTGGGTTTGATTTCAGGATTCATTCAAATCCCAGAGAATAATAAATACATGAGTTCTTACCTTTAATTACAAAAAAAAAAAACCAAAACGATTTCTCTTTCATAGGCAGGGAAGCCCACGAGGAGATAAACATTACCTTTACCCTGCCTGCAGCTTGGAGCTCAGACGACTGTGCCCTTCATGGTCACTGTGAGCAGGTGGTGTTCACAGCCTGCATGACCCTCACAGCCAATCCTGGTGTGTTCCCCGTCACCATGTAAGTGGTCTCCAGAGCCCAGTAGCTGTGTGTGAGAAGCTCCGTTTAGCGTGAATATGACTGGGATGCTTCAGCAGCAGATTCGCAGGATGGCTTGCATTGTACTTTGTGGAACTGCCACTCCTCAGACCTGTCTAAAGGGTTATTTGATTTAATCTGGAATTCTAAAGGTGGAGCTTCTACATATAAATACTAGAAAATGAGTGCTTCACTCAGGTAGTAAAAGCATGTGGCTGTTGTTGCATGTTCGTAGGCTGCCTTTCCCATCACTGGAAGCAGCACGTCACAGAAAAGATAAGTAAGAGCTGATCCTATGACCAGAATGATGCATAATTAAGGCTTCTGAAAGAGAAAGGTTTTGTTCATCTCCATGATCTAGAAAGAGCTATTTTTTAAATTGAGAGCATAAATTGAACCTTATTTTCTATGAAACAGTTACTAATTCTGAAGCTTTTGCTTCATATTTTTTGAGCAGCCATCAATGTTATTGCTTGGCCTTTAAGGGTTTTTTTTTTTTTTTTTTTGTCTTTTTCTATAAAGGACATAATGATCTATAGATACATGAAATACACAAGGTGTAGCCTATTTAAAAGAATTCTGTGGTGAATCCTTTTAAAATAATAATTATCCCAGGATTTCTCTATTTTAGACATTTGGAGGTTTTTAGGACAAGATCAGATAAGTCAAACCCTATTTGCTGTTGGTTGTTATATCTGATGGAGAAGTTTCTATGTAAAACTTCCAGTTATAACTAAGAATTTAGATAATTTGAGAAAATAGGCTTAAAAGGAGCAGGTCCCTCTTTGGCCACATCATATGCGAGGGGACTGTGGGTTGAATTCCAAAGGCAAAAATATGACACCCAAAGCCTAAATGTCAGATGCCTATTGCTTATAGTGTTATTGTTAATTAAAAAAAAAAAAAATCCCTGAACTAAAAACATAGTGATACTTATCTCAAGAAACATGTATGTCTCTTATTTCTCCTTTCCACACATGTGGCTATGCTCAGTGTTATGACAGGGACCTTGGGGGAGACACAAGTAAATGTCTCAGGCCACTGAGCATGTGTCTGTCCCTCTCTTCCCCTGCAGACAGCCACCGCACTGTGTTCCTGACACATACAGCAATGCCACGCTCTGGTACAAGATCTTCACAACTGCCAGAGATGTCAACACAAAATATGCTCAAGATTACAATCCTTTCTGGTGTTATAAGGGGGCCATTGGAAAAGTCTATCATGCTTTAAATCCCAAGCTTACAGTTATTGTTCCAGATGTAAGTAAGAAAAAGTGTGTGTGTGTTTGTCCCCGGGAACTGAGGAGGCCCTGTTTACCTCCTTGGGTTAGCTCAGCCTCTGCCATTCTAGATTTCTAGCTGGGTTGGGAGACTAAGTGGAGTGGTGGTGGAGACTCGGAAAAACACACCGCCTTTTGGTTAAGAAAACCCTGCTTTTGTTCTTGTTTTCCATTTTGTTCAGCAGCAGTTGTCATTGAGCAGCTGTGGTGTGCCTGACTCATGGGAGTGACAAGAGATGCTTGCACAGTGTTACTCATGCACACAGATACTCACAGGGCAGTATTGGGCTAGTGTCAGTATGAGCTTTGGAATTCAGAAAGTTAGACATAAATCGGAGGAGATGAATCTTTGGCTGGATATTGAGGGCTATATGGGATTATACTTAAAGAGGCAAAGAGAGGAAGACACAGTAATCTAGACTGTGGGGTAATATGCTCGTTTAGCTTCCCGCTTAGACTTGAGCCCATTTTTAAAAGACTGCACTGATTTTTGGTAAATGCTCGTACTTTTCTTCCTGTCAGTATATGTTAGGTAGATTTCTTTTTGCCTGGTCCTTTTTTCTTATGTCTCATTTTTATCAAGTTGTAGAAATTGGTAGGCTGGGGGCATTTGAGTGAGCTCAACATTTTCAACCAGGGACTTGTAAAAGTGAGAAGAAGGCAGAAGGAAGGAAGCTGCCTCCAGGGAGAGGTGATGTGCAGAGGCCTTCCTGGGGGGAGGGCGGGTGACAAGGAGTTGGGAACACAGGCTTGGACTGTCAGCCATGCAACTTGAGGGCTGTCAAAGGATGTAAGAGAAGATTAGGGGTTAAAGACTGCGTCTCTGGAAGCTTCTCAGGGGAGGAGACCTGTGGGAGAGGGGTTCGGGCAGTGTGGGGTGCAGAAGCCGGGGCAGAGGGCTGCTTTAAGAAGGAGTGGGTGGTCTCAGGAACACCATGTCTTCACCTGATGAGATCCAGTTTTCATAGTTTAGAAGACAAAAGGGGAAGCCGCCTGTTCCGGTTTAAGAATTGCAGTTGAGGCGAGTCTGGAGGCTGTGAACCCTGTTTCCAGAAATGTAGCATTAAGATCTTTCAGTAACTCAATGCAGATGTTTTTGGTTTATTTTCTTTATTTAGGATGACCGTTCATTAATAAATTTGCATCTCATGCACACCAGTTACTTCCTCTTTGTGATGGTGATAACTATGTTTTGCTATGCTGTTATCAAAGGCAGACCCAGCAAATTGCGTCAGAGCAATCCTGAATTTTGTCCTGAAAAGGTGAGCAGTGGATGGGGTCTGGCCCAGCATTTTGCTAGAGATCTCTGTATGCAGAAAGTCCCAGTTAGTCCTTATTCCATTTATTGTGGGTGGCATCTTTCCTTCAGAGAAATCAGTTCCTGTCTTTTTATCAGAAGTAGTCTACCTTCAGCCTAAATTATGATACTGGATTTTCAACTATATTACCCAAGTCTTAGCTGGTTAAAGGTACTGATTGTTCTCAAATCCCCATTGCAGAGCAACTGACCCTGGAAGGCTGCCTCCCCTCCACTTTCGTCAGCTTGAGAAATCATCTCACGGACTGCTGAGCAGGGTTCCAAAACAGTTAACTTTGTATCTCAGCTGAGTGGTTCCATTAGATCAGCTGCTTTTTGCAGGAGACTTTTAGATTTCTATTCTTTCCTTCCTACGTGAGACTTTTTCTTAGGGATTTAGTAATTCCCCTGCCTGATAGATCTATGCAGTATGGCTCCCTAGTCTTTGGGTTGGGACCCGAGCCCAGTAAGGGTACTAGTGGGGCTGAGTTACCTGGGCTTTGGTCTGTGACTGGATTGCTCATCTTGCTTTTTTCTAGGTGGCTTTGGCTGATGCCTAATCCCACAACTGCCTGTTTTCTGAGAGAACCATAATCGTTGCCTGCTGAACCCAGCCTGGCCCTGGACACTCTGTGAATACGTTATCTTGTGATGTTGGGTTATTCCAGCCAAAGACCTTTTTCAAGTGCCTGTAACTGATTTGTATATATTTATAGAGATCTATTCAGAAATTGGTCCAGTGATGCACGTGCTTTGCACTGGGTGCAGCCAGAACCCTTCAGCCTCATCCGTGGACTTGGTGGGATGATTCCACGTGGCGCCAGAGAGGATCCGTGGTCTCACTGCATTGGAGAGGGCCATGCTGTCTTTACCAAGGTCACGGGCGTTTCATTACTGGTGGGGTTGAGGTCTGCTTTGGTTCTTGTTTCCGCCCGATATGTACAGAATGTTCAAAACAGTCTGCACCTTTGATATGATACTGCATTTCCAAAGCCACCAGTCTATTTTGTGGATTTTATGTGTCTGTGGCTTAATAATCATAGTAACAACAATAATACCCTTTTCTCCATTTTGCTTGCAAGGAAAGATATCTATCTTTCTAAGTTTTTTTTGAAGACAAAAATAAAATAGTCACATTTTAATACTACTCTAGTTAGGACAAGACTTGTGCTTTTATCTTGAGTAAAAGGCTAAATATTTAAAAGTCACCTACGTGGTAAAGATCTAAGTTTCATTTTCCACATGGATGATGAGGAACCTGGTCTTGTTTGAGTTGAGTTGGCACAGAATATTCCACTGTCTTTCTACTTTATTGTCCCCTCCATTATAAAAGTTAAAGCAGCTTTCTCACTCAAAAAGGCTTAAAAATTAAGTAAATGGCTCTAGAGTAGAGTAAAACTAGCTATTCTGTTTTCTGGAATGCACATGGTAGAAGAGAGAATGATGATTTGGTTTAATAGTTATGAAAGGGTTTCCTGTTTTCTTTGAAGAGGGAGTGGATTTTCCTTCCTCCTCCTTCTCTTTTTTTTGTATTTATTTTTATGCAATTAATTTATCTTCAGAAGGAAAATGGCAGCTAGTAGGTCAGTGACTTTATGAAAACGATGCTTGTAAATTTGAAGGAAAGCAATTCTCATTTGCCGTTTGTCAGGAAAACCAAAAGTGTTTTTCTTTCCTTTAATATTTCTATAATCTAATTCCTTTATCCCTTTTTCTTTCTAATCTATCTTCATTTAAAAAAATCGTGTGTTATCTTTTCCAGTCCTTTCTTGTTACTTGTATTCTTACTGTTTTTCTGTGTCTTAATAGCTCTTTGCCTTAATAACTTGTCATTAATGACTTCTGTGTTCTCCCAAGCAATGTTATAGCAGAAGGGCAATTAAAATCTTGGGCATGACTGGCAGCACTTCTTTTCCTTAACTCCAGGTCTATAGTCTGTTATAAATCAGAATCAGTCCTGCAGTCTGAAATATATTGGCCTAGAACGAAATTTTATCCCAGGCATTCTTTTTTTTTTGGTGAGGAAGATTGGCCCTGTGCTAATATCTGTGCCAGTCTTTCTCCACTTTGCATATGGGACCCTGCCACAGCATGGCTTGATGAGCAGTGTGTAGGTCTGCACCTGGGATTGGAACCCATGAAACCCAGGCCACTGAAGTGGATCGTGTGAACCTAACCACCACACCACTGGGCTGGCCCCTCCCAGGCATTCTTGAATGGAAAACAATTGTGGGCTTTTATCAATGATTGTTAATCACAAGAGTAACTTGGTATGTTAATATTCCTTTCTTCCTTTTACTACATTTCAAGCGCAGTAATCATACTTGTCTATCCAGTTTTTTTGTATTATGAGTTACTTACATGGTGCATGGCTAACCTGTTAATTTAGTTTTCTCTTTAGAGACTTTGAGACTCTTACAAGACAAGATTGAGAAAGAGCCATTTGGCTTGGCTTTTAGAAACATCAATATCATTAAGAACAGATTTTAGGTTAAGTTGCTACTGAATTATTAAAATCCCAATGAAGCAGAACTATAGGGATAGATTTATAACTGGGAGAGTAACATAAAAGGAGAAAGGCGAAAGTCAGTTTCACTGGTTTGTTCAATCCAGCTTTTTTGCTGATATTAGTTACCCTTGTTTGAATTACAGGGAGTGGCTGGAATCTGTAAGCAGGGAGGAAGGACACTGTTAGGCATGAGGAAAGGAAGTGCCAAAAATGCCTGGACAGTATGACTTGTCATGAGGCCAGGACACACACTTTAAAATCCAACATCCACCCTAATAGGTAATTCTCAAAGATGTAACTGAAATCCAGAGTCAGTCAGCTATATAAAGGAAGGCTGGGGAAGAGGAGAGGCCCTGGGGCCTGGGCAAAAGAGGTCTAATAACTGAAGAGACTCCACTGAGTGTCTGGAGGTCCAGAGGACCTATTACTGTCTGGGCATTTACAGACAAGGCCCGATCCCCCGCTGTATCTTGCTGGGGGACCTCAGGATTAGAAGAGTATCACGAACAGGGCCCGTTTGCCATTCAGAGGCGACCCTGCTGGGACCATCGGCTCATCCTCAGGCATCTTGGACTGGAGGTCCAATAAAAGGTCAGCAACTTACTATTAAAATGATTGTTTCAGATCATATTGATCTCTTTCCTTTTTCCTTTTGTCCTTTCACTCTATGACTTGAATCAGTTTTGATTCTATTTGTAAGTTTTTCTTGTCATAGGAACCTGCCATTTCCGTTGCATCCTCTCGGGCGGTCTGTAGGGATTCAGTCCCCTGGTTCTGCAGCCCTGCTGCAGGCACTGTGGGGTTGCGAGGGCCAGTGGATCCATTTCACTTACCTTGCTGCATGATGGTCAGTAGCTGATCTGTTATGGCATTCACTCTCAGATTAATTTTCCGTATTTGAACTATGTGCATATGTGCTTTACAGAATAAAACATCTGAATTTATTTGCTGTATCTTTGTTTCCTCCAGTCTGATGAGTGTTTTCTAAAGGAAGAACATACGTGAAAAGTAATTGAGGGTTTTTTGCAAGCTGTTCTTTTGAAGTGTCACCTATCATCAAGATGAGGGGTGGGCAATATTTCCTACTAAGCTGGTGTCGCTAAGCACATGGGTCTTTTCCCTGAGAGTACAAAACCTCTTCTAGTGTATTGGACCAACAAGTATTCACGGACCTGACCCAAATCCTGCCTCGGAGAAGTAAGTAATACAGACAAGTAGGGAGCGCTCGAATAGGTATGGGAATTTAAAGGTACTTTTCTCAGTTACATAAACCCTTCGTGCGCACTTGGTCTGAGTTACCAGAAGCAGTCTCCTAGCCGGCTCCGCCTTCTAAGTTACAGACCTCCCACATGTGCTAGACTTCTTGCCCAGGATAGTGCATCCTCTACAGTTACTTTTGTAGAGTTAGTTTTAAAGGGAGATTGTGTTCACTAATGTGAATTCTTCCCTTTTCCAATGGGCAGAGGCTCTGTGGACCTTCCTTCACTCCCCGGCAGGAACCAGAGGTGGTAGAAGTCCATCTCAAGGCACTCTGTGGGACAGGACAGCATTGAGGAACAGGACACCTCAACGGGCTCTTGGTTTCTGCCTCCTCCAGCTCTTCCTGCCTTCTCTCTCTAACGGGTAAAATAGTTATACACGCAACACTTTGTGCCATTCACTGCTCTGTCCTTGAACTCTGAGATTTGTGAGTGTGTGTAGAGAAGTCCTTGGAGGATAAGATCAAAAAATTAAAAATAGAACTACCATATGATCCAGCCATTCCACTACTGGGTATCTATCCAAAGAACTTGCAACGGGCTCTTGGTTTCTGCCTCCTCCAGCTCTTCCTGCCTTCTCTCTCTAACGGGTAAAATAGTTATACACGCAACACTTTGTGCCATTCACTGCTCTGTCCTTGAACTCTGAGATTTGTGAGTGTGTGTAGAGAAGTCCTTGGAGGATAAGATCAAAAAATTAAAAATAGAACTACCATATGATCCAGCCATTCCACTACTGGGTATCTATCCAAAGAACTTGAAGTCAGCAATTCCAAAAGTCCTATGCACCCCAGTGTTCATTGCAGCATTATTTACGATAGCCAAGACATGGAAGCAACCTAAGTGCCCATCAACAGATGAATGGTAAAGAAGTTGTGGTACGTATATACAATGGAATACTACTCAGCTGCAAAACAGAACAAAATCATTCCATTTGCAATAACATGGATGGACCTTGAGGGAATTATGTTAAGTGAAATAAGCCAGTTAGAGAAGGATAATCTCTGTATGACTCCACTCATATGAGGAATTTAAAAATGTGGACAAAGAGAACAGATTAGTGGCTACCAGGGGAAAGGTGGGGTGGGGGGTGGGCACAAAGTGTGAAGTGGTGCACCTACAACATGAATGACAAACATTAATGTACAACTGAAATCACACAAGATTGTAACCTATCATTAACTCAATAAAAAAAAAAAAAAAGAAGCCCTTGGAGGATAAGAGTTCACACCTTCCTCCTGTACGTCTAAAATCTGGCACAAACCACGTCATCAAGTGAAGTTAAAGATGGTGCTTTAGGCAACCAGAAGGACCTACAACTAGAATATACAGCTATGTACTGGGGGCGCTTTGGGGAAAAGAAGAAGGGAAAAAAAAAAGATCAGCAACAGACGTTAGCTCAGGTGCCAATCTTTAAAAAAAAAAAAAAAAAAAGATAGTGCTCTAGACCCGTTTCATTTTCCTGGTAGGTGCACTGTGCTTGAAGTTCTGAGACTCACAGACAAGGAGTACAGAAGAAGCAGAATGAATGCACAGACCAGAGGAGTGCTGTGAAGTCTTGTCAAGCTCCTTGTGAATTTATTTGCTATCTCAAACAAACTTCTCTGCCCATCTGTGAGAGCCCACTTTTTTTCCACCTCTGAAGACCCCAAACTCCTTACACCATGCTGGGTGTTTGATTATGGTTGAACTGGAGTGGTTTGAACATACCAAGAATAGACGGCAAATAAATGATGCTGTGTCCAAGGGGGGAGAGGGTTTGAGTTTTGCTTGTGATACTAGTCAGCCTCTTTCCTCCAAACTTTTGCTTATTCAGTAACAACTGTTTATGGGATTCCTCTTAAGTGCCATCACTGTTCAAGGAACTCAAGTTACAGCAATGCGTGGACAAAATGCTTGCCCTCTTCGACTTCCTTCTAGTTGGGAGACAGTCCATAAACACTTAAGTTTGTTCATAATCTAGTGGCAGATAGTGATGAAATAGAGGGTTTCTGGGATGGAGAACGATAGACATGATGCCCCAGGGTGGTCACAGATGGCATCTTGGCAGAGGTTCATTTTGAAGGCACACGGAAATGGGGGAGTTCTGCACCCAGGCATTCCATGCAGAGGGCAGGGCTGGCCCTGCTGCGCAGAGGCTGTGCTCTAGGGGCCCTGGTTCATTGCCAGGTGGAGAATGGGAGTCCTATAGGGTCTTGTCTCCCCACATGAGGATAAGATTCCTCAGACTTCTACCAGAGTGACACTACAGGGATGGCGTGCCAGAGGCAATGCAGGTAGATACTCCTTCACCATCTGGTCCAGGAAAGGAGTTCTCAGAACTGAAGCACAGCATGGTAGGTGTGAGCCCTGGCTCCACTGCCTGTTGCCATGTACCTTTGGCCATGCTGCGGCAGGTGTCCCATGTATAAACTAGAGGAAGATGGGCACGGATGTTAGCTCAGGGTCAGTCTTCCTCAGAAAAGAAAAGAATTAGTTTTGTCATTTTGAGCAAGTTACAACATCTTCAGGTCTCAGGACTTTGGAGCCTGACATCTTGAAATCATGTTGACCAGACCTTTGTTTTAAAGATGAAGAAGCTGTTGATCTAAAGGGGAAAAAAAGACACATGAAGAGGCTAGGGAAAATACTCCTAGTTAAAACCTTTGTGCCTTTAAATGCTTTCTCCATCCAACAGTCCATCACTCCCCTGCCCCTTTATCACCAGCCTGGCTCTCAAATCACATCCTGTATCTGGAAAACCCTTCTCAGAGGCACCTGACACCTTGACAGACTCCTTCTGTCCCTATCCTTCAACTGAATCTTGATGTCTTCCTTGCACCGGTATCCATGACCATGCGACTGGTTGACTTGCCTCATCTGGGCAATCCACCTCCTGTGCCCAAAGTGCACCGCTCCTTGGCATAGGGGTTCCCACCATTTCCTAGTCGGGCACGCATGGTGTGCACTGTGGTGGTCTGCTACCTGGAAGGGGGCCCTTCCCTTTCCTGCTGGTCCAGAGCACCCATTCCAGCATCTGCCTGGCTGCTTTCCTTCCCTAGCACTGCCCCAGGGGCCACTAATGCTGTGGTAGCTGCAGGCTACCCATGGACACACTCAAGAGCAGAAGCAAGGTCACATGTAATACATCAGGGACCTCATGGCCTTCTCTAGCACCTTGACCTCAACCTGATCACTCCTGATCCCTTTTTGTGAATTTTACTATCCTGAAAAGAGAGAGAAGATAGAATTTAAAAAGGAAAATAAAGGATTAGCTGAAATGTAAAGAAGGAATAAAAGAAGAACAACATACAATAAACTCACATGTATTTCAATAAGTAAAGGCCTGGGCGCGACTGCCCTAAAAGTGGTGACAACGGGATTAGATGCTTGTATCTGTGAGAGAATTGCTGCGAATGGGACAGCTCTACACACACAGTGACAGGTGAGGTGTCGAACGGGCCACTGTGCCTCCTGCAGCAGGGGTACTGGAGAGATGATTTTTGTTAAGTTTCCTAAGAAGACAAAGTACGCTCTTCCTCAGTTTACTTGCATTCCTAGGAATTACTGTGTATGTATAGAAAATACTTTGTCAAAATAGAGTTAGGTTCCAGGCTCCAATGATTATAAACATTTTTCACCTCTACCTGATTGTTGGATAAGAAACTGGAAACCATGTAAAATGTGACAAATCTTTGCACTGTCTTATGCTTTTTTGAGTCCACATCTAAGGAGTGGGCCCCTGTTATTGTGATGACCAAAAACATCCCCCACATCTCCACAGTGTCCCTTATTGAAAATCAGGGCTCCAGCATATTCACCCTGTGCATCCTGCTCCAGACTGAAAGGTTTCTGATACCTCAGCTTTTGGCCTCTAACCAACCCCAGGAGCTTAGAGCAGCTGTCATCCCCCAGCTGCTACAGACCAGGTCCATCAGCCTGTAATCTATGCCTCTTCCTCCCACTTTGTCTGACCGTGGCCCACACCTCAAGATGATGCTGTGACCTGGAGAGGTACTGCCTTACTCCTGGCGCTCTAGGAGGAAGGGGGATTGGCCCAAGAGAACAGTCCTGGGATTTGCCTCCTGCCCCAAGATGTCTGTGTGGCACCCTAGGAAGCCCAGGTTCCGCTCAAGCAGGCATTGGGGCTGGGAGACAAGTGGTGTAATTCCTGTCCCCATCCCTTTTCCTGCATACAACACCCGCCACCACACACACACACCCCTAGTGCACAGAATGCCATAGGAGCTAGAAGAGGGAGTAACTGATCTTATCCACAGTCGTACATTTTTGCCATACCCAAATACAAAAAGGATAGCTTATAGCACTGGGGTGTAAGAAGTTCTACCCATAAAGTTGCTGGTGCCACAGAAACCTGTATATTGGACTGGGTGGGTGGGCTTGCATTGGAGGATTCATAAGGTGGTAGTGGTGTGGGCTGGAAACAAGCCAAACTACACAGTGAAAAACCAAGACTTTGGCCAGAAGTGTGCAATTTTTCAAGAACATGGGATACACAGTTCTATTTTAGCGATAGTGATGTTAGAAATTTTGGCCTGGGTTGGACTCTGAAAAAATGAGAGATTTTGTTAAAAATCTAAACAAGGCAAGCAAAGCAAAGCAAATCCTTGAAGGGGTCTGCCCAGAATCTGAAAATGTTGGCAACAAATGGATGAAGGAAGATGCTGTGTGTGGGTGCCTGTGGC